GATTTAACCATAGAGATCCCAGCCAAAATTGAGCAAATGGTTCCAGAAGTCACCTCATCTATATTTTTAGAGAAAAATATTGAGGATTTGTCAAAATTAACTAGCTGACCATAATCAAGACCATAATTAGATAAGATAGAAACAATGACAGATGCATGATGAACATCTGCCTGACAGAACAAAATAGAATCATCAGCAAAAAGTAAATGAGAAATACTAGGAGCATTAGGACCAATTTTAAGACCTTTATACAACCCAGACATACAAGCTTGATAGTATACTTCTTTACATTTTCTTTCTCTCTCTTCCTCCTCTCTCTATATTCTCTCTCTTCTCTTTTCCCCGTTCTTTTTCTCTTTTTCTGCTTCTTATTTCTTCTTCTTCTTCTTCATGCTTAAAAGGAAAAAAATAATCAGTTGAATATATACATACATAACAATTAATTTGACTAAAAATATACATACATAACAATTAATTTGACTAAAAAACAACACAAATGATTGTTATTGTGACTTACAAAATTAATAATACATAGTATAAAAAAGATACGTGACCACAAACAACAATGAAACGTCTTTCAAACAACATAAAAACAACTATTAGTGACCCCAAACAACAATAAAACATCTCTCAAGCAACATAAAAACAACTATCAATAAACAATAAAATATCCACCATCAACAGTTGTTTATTGTTGTTTATGGATATTTATAAAGTCCAGAACATGTCCAAATTAATCTAGATATTGTTAATTGATGTCAAAAATTAGGACAATCGAAAAAAAAATAGACTACTCTGCAAAATAGAATTACCGGTTGTGGCCGTCCAGTTCCCGCTTGCGGCAAAACCCGTCAATTTGATAACTAATGTGATTTTCAATTTCACAATAAGATACCTCAAATTCGTTAAATATTGTCCTTAAAATCGCTAAATGTTTGAACCCAAATCTACTATGAGTGAACTTCTACCTTTGTTATATATAGTTATAGTGTTATTTGGATTTGATTGTCGTTATTCATCCGACAATCAAGTTGGGAAAAATAACAGTTGCATAAAAAAGTATTGCAGATGATAGTCAGTTGGCCGGTTGGAAGGCCAATTCTTTATCCTTGGCAGAAAGATGTGTCTTGACTCAGTTGATTGTGAGTACGTTGTCATATTATACCATGCAAATAATGTGTCTTCCAGCTTCGATTATTTGTGAAGGACTAGAGAAACGACGTCGAAAAATTTTGTGGGGAGGGTGTCACACTCAACGAAAAATTCCCTCTTGTGTCCTGGGAGACTGTCTGCCAAAGGAAAAAGTCAGGCAGTTTGGGGTTGAAGCGACAAAAGGAGATGAATACTGATGTATTAATGAAATTGGGTTGATTTCTTCTGACAAAGCTGGATACCTTACGAGTTCGATTGATTTTGGCAAAATATAGGCTCAGTTCAACAGCAATGGGGGATGATTTTATTTTTCCCAAGGGATCCATGGTGTTGAAGGCAATTGGTTATAAAGTGTGGTCATTGTTGAGGAAATGGCTTACATGGTCCTTTGTTAATGGTAATACAACCATGTTTTATAAATGGCTTCACCAGTCGACACCGTTGCGTTTTCTTGCGACAAGTCAATCCCGAAGGACCAACGGGAGCTATGGATGGCAAGTTTTGTGACTGATAGTGGAGATTGGAATTGGAGCTCCTTTGCGAGCTTATTGTCGGCTGGTATGTTCTTGCGAATTGCTTCAGTCTTGCCTCCAAACTATCTCACTAGGGAAGAATATCTACTGAGGTTTATGAAAAATAGTTGTTTCACAATGAAATTAGCTTATGTGTTCTTGTTTCCACCCATGTTGTTTACTAACCATGTTTTATAAAAGCCAATTTGGCATCGGGTTAGTCCTCAACGAGCAAGACATTTTTTTATGGCTTGTGGCGCAAGACAGGTTATTGACAAATATGGAGAGATATTGTCGCCATTTAGCAAGCTCTTCAGCTTGCATGTTGTGTGCACTGGGTGCAGAACCCGCCTTGCATGCTTTTGCAGGATGTGAAGGAGCAGCAAAGGTATGACGTCATTTATTACCAAATTAATTTCATGGATCCTTTTTGGTTTCAATCACCAAGAGTGGTTCTTGTTTAATTTAAAAAACAAGTTGCACGTGAATGTTGAGGGGTGGGAGATATTGTTTGGTGTTAATTGCATGAAGAATATGGAGTGGC